ACGATTACAATTGATTTGATTGATAGTTTGATTTACTGTTGGTGATGATCGTGAGTTCGAGTTTTTGATTGTTCTCGACTGGGCATCGTGAGTTACGTTCATCAGGATGAGGTCGGCGTGAGCGGCGTTGGCGAGTGAGATTACTCCGCTTCTTGTCGCGACATGAAGAGGATTTCTTACTTGTCGGCAACGCGAAATTAACCGAAAGAAGCTCGCTGCTGAAGGTAAGACCGTGGTGGTGGTGGTGATGGTGATGTTGATGATGATGACGATGATTGTGGTGGTGATGCTGATAATGATGATTGTGCTGGTAATGATGATGATCGTGGTAGTAATGATGACAATAATGATGATGATGGTCATGATCATTGTGGTGGTCATCATGATGATGATGATTATGATAGTGATGATGATTATGATGATGATGATTGTGGTGGTAATGATGATGATAATAATGATGATGATGATTGTAGCGGTAATGATGATGATGATGATTGTGGTGGTAATGATGATGATAATGATTGTGGTGGTAATGATGATGATAATTGTGCTGGTAATGATGATCGTGGCAGTAATGATGATGACAATAATGATGGTGATGATGATAATTGTGGTGGTCATGATGATGATGATTATGATGATGATAAAAATGATGGTGATGATAATTGTGGTGGTCCCTATAATGATGATGATTGAGGCGGTAATGATGATGATAATAATGATGATGATGATTGTGGTGGTCATGATGATGATGACGATGATAATATAATTAGACGGTCATAGCACCGATGGTGACTGTTACGGTAAAGACGGCAGCTGTGATGACACGAGAAGTGATGTCGTGAAAACATAAAAAATATCCAAAATATAAATAATTTCTAATTGTCACGTTTAATACAAAGCATTGTATGCTTATTTAATAATCACTATCATAAACAGTATTATAAATTATACAGCATTTTTCTTCTTGGTTCTTTCAGTAAAGTCACGTAGAATGGAAATAATAAAAGAATAAAAATAAAACATATTATTATATTGTGTTTTAATCTAATTATTTTATTATTTCTATTCTACGTGACTTTACCGAAAGAACCAAGAAGATGAATCCCTGCAGTCACGAAAGCTTTAAATCGATATGTATACAGCATTTGTCTCTGTGTGTGTAAAGCGTGATGAGCTTCTTCAAAAACGTCGACGAGCGTTGCCTTCCTGCTGTTGAGCTCTGTCCGTGATGTTTACTCACAACTCCTTAGTCCAATGTTAGTCTGTGGGCAATGTTAGTCTATGGGCAGTGTTAGTCTGTTAGTCTGTTGTGAGTCTATGGGCAATGTGAGTCTATGGGCAGTGTTAGTCTATGGGCAGTGTTAGTCTATGGGCAATGTTAGTCTATGGGCAATGTTAGTCTATGGGCAGTGTTAGTCTATGGGCAGTGTTAGTCTATGGGCAGTGTTAGTCTATGGGCAATGTTAGTCTATGGGCAATGTTAGTCTATGGGCAATGTTAGTCTATGGGCAATGTTAGTCTAGGGCAGTGTTAGTCTATGGGAAATGTTAGTCTATGGGCAATGTTAGTCTATGGGCAGTGTTAGTCTATGGGCAGTGTTAGTCTATGGGCAATGTTAGTCTATGGGCAATGTTAGTCTATGGGCAATGTTAGTCTATGGGCAATGTTAGTCTAGGGCAGTGTTAGTCTAGGGCAGTGTTAGTCTATGGGCAATGTTAGTCTATGGGCAATGTTAGTCTATGGGCAGTGTTAGTCTATGGGCAGTGTTAGTCTATGGGCAGTGTTAGTCTATGGGCAATGTTAGTCTATGGGCAATGTTAGTCTATGGGCAATGTTAGTCTAGGGCAGTGTTAGTCTAGGGCAGTGTTAGTCTATGGGCAGTGTTAGTCTATGGGCAATGTTAGTCTATGGGCAATGTTAGTCTATGGGCAGTGTTAGTCTATGGGCAGTGTTAGTCTATGGGCAATGTTAGTCTATGGGCAATGTTAGTCTATGGGCAGTGTTAGTCTGTGGGCAATGTTAGTCTATGGGCAGTGTTAGTCTGTTAGTCTGTTGTGAGTCTATGGGCAATGTGAGTCTATGGGCAGTGTTAGTCTATGGGCAGTGTTAGTCTATGGGCAATGTTAGTCTATGGGCAATGTTAGTCTATGGGCAGTGTTAGTCTATGGGCAGTGTTAGTCTATGGGCAGTGTTAGTCTATGGGCAATGTTAGTCTATGGGCAATGTTAGTCTATGGGCAATGTTAGTCTATGGGCAATGTTAGTCTAGGGCAGTGTTAGTCTATGGGAAATGTTAGTCTATGGGCAATGTTAGTCTATGGGCAGTGTTAGTCTATGGGCAGTGTTAGTCTATGGGCAATGTTAGTCTATGGGCAATGTTAGTCTATGGGCAATGTTAGTCTATGGGCAATGTTAGTCTAGGGCAGTGTTAGTCTAGGGCAGTGTTAGTCTATGGGCAATGTTAGTCTATGGGCAATGTTAGTCTATGGGCAGTGTTAGTCTATGGGCAGTGTTAGTCTATGGGCAGTGTTAGTCTATGGGCAATGTTAGTCTATGGGCAATGTTAGTCTATGGGCAATGTTAGTCTAGGGCAGTGTTAGTCTAGGGCAGTGTTAGTCTATGGGCAGTGTTAGTCTATGGGCAATGTTAGTCTATGGGCAATGTTAGTCTATGGGCAGTGTTAGTCTATGGGCAGTGTTAGTCTATGGGCAATGTTAGTCTATGGGCAATGTTAGTCTATGGGCAGTGTTAGTCTAGGGCAATGTTAGTCTATGGGCAGTGTTAGTCTATGGGCAGTGTTAGTCTATGGGCAATGTTAGTCTATGGGCAATGTTAGTCTATGGGCAGTGTTAGTCTAGGGCAGGGGTCGGCAGCCAAAATAACAAGAAGAGCCATTTCTTTCCAATTCGGTACAAAATTCAGTATTTCAAGAGCCGCAATGCATCTGAGTACATACTGTACATACGTACATATCGTCAAGAAGCAGCCCGTAAAGAGCCGCATGCGGCTCCGGAGCCGTAGGTTGCCGACCCCTGGTCTAGGGCAATGTTAGTCTATGGGCAGTGTTAGTCTATGGGCAGTGTTAGTTTATGGGAAATGTTAGTCTATGGGCAGTGTTAGTCTGTTAGTCTGTTGTGAGTCTATGGGCAATGTTAGTCTATGGGCAGTGTTAGACTGTTAGTCTGTTGTGAGTCTCTGGGCAATGTTAGTCTATGGGCAGTGTTAGACTGTTAGTCTGTTGTGAGTCTCTGGGCAATGTTAGTCTATGGGCAATGTTAGTCTATGGGCAGTGTTAGTCTGTTATGAGTCTCTGGGCAATGTTAGTCTATGGGCAATGTTAGTCTGCTGTGAGTCCGGGTTCTCCAGTGTTTCCCTCCACATTTAGAAGCAACGCGCCTTTAGAATAATGTACATTTCCACACGATGATGGTGAGCCACTTCGTTGAGCTATCACCTGTGATCGCCAGGTCGCTTCTGAAAGAGAGCTACATAGCTCAGTGGGGCCTCACCTGGTCAAGTAAAAGACTCATTTGAAAAATAAGAATAGGCTTTACCCTTTCTGGCAATAAAAGTGATACTGGCAAAAAAGATTCCATGATATAGCTGCTCAACCCGAGCTATAAATGATCTGATACGGGCATTGTCTTTGTACTGTTCGCCGTTTGGCGTTCTCTGGTCTGACATTGGTGAGACTAGGCCACAAATTAATGTCTGTCGTGTAGGCCAATCAGTTCCAAAGACAATGCACAGAATATCGGAGCATGATTATTTGCATGTTCACCACCCATCCTGTGTGTGGTTAATGCAGACCTGATTCCTTGCAAAAGGTTTCCTATTTGGCGTTTGAACATCCTAACACCTCCTGTTTTATTGTCAGAAAGGGTAAAATAAAACTCATGTTATTATTCTTGATTTGAAGCTTTCGTGACTGCAGGAATCCATACTCTTTGGTTCTTTCGGTAAAGTCACGTAGAAGGGAAATAATAAAATAATAATAAAACATAATAAAATAATATAATACCATAATAAAATAATATAATATAAAATAATATAATAATATAATAAAATCTTTCGGTAAAGTCACGTAGGTAGAATATAAAATAGATCATGACGTTTCGGGCGCAACACAAGCGTCCGTCATCTGGTGGGAAAGCATGGTCTGCTGCTGAGGCAGACTATTTTACAGGTAGGAACAACAGTTCCACACTGCCCACCAGGGATTATTTGTCTGTCTACGTGCATGGCCCCGCCCCACCAGAGCCCTCCCATTGGCTCGTGGGCGCCGACCAATGGGAGCGCTGGGTTGGGGTTGGTAGAGGGGGGGTTAGTGGTGGGGGGGGGGGACCGCCGCGACTCGGGCCAATGAGGAGACGGGCGATGTTCATTCACAAAATGGAACTGGGGGAGGGTGGCTCCATTCATAAAATGGAAGCCTTGAAAAGGAAACAGCGGATGTTTTTGCCTCGTGTTTCTTTCGACATTCCCAGCCTAAAGGTGATTCGGTTTGTCCAAAAAAGCAAATGTATTCCTTGTAAAAAATAAAACAAATTAATGCATTTCTAGGTTAACATGAAACATATAAATTAACCCCGCCCCCCCCTAATAAAAAAAATACTTTACGGAGTATTATATGACAATGCATATTACAGGTATGAGCAACAGGTTCCACACTGCCCACCAGGGATTATTTGTCTGTCTGTCGTGCACAAATGCGCTGTCCAACCAAGTTCCTACCTGGCCACTCCGAAGGAACGTGTTTATTTTCTTATTGGTTCTTTCGGTAAAGTCACGTAGAAGGGAAATAATAAATAATACAAATAAAACATAATAAAATAATTCTCACGACGTTTCGGCCCCAAACGCAAGCAGCCGTCCTCAGGTGAAGACCAAATTGAACGTGTTTATCTTTTCACACTTTGATACTGGCAAAAAGAAAAGAGTCCCATGATAAGACACTCGTCTAAAATACAGTTGACACGTGGCGCCCCACAGCCGCAGGTCGACACGAGGGATGGAGGAACTCGCTCGGTTCGTCCGCGCCTCCTTCGCGGGTGGAGGACGGAGACCGCGACCCAGCGGGGTCCGGCACAGAGGTGGGGCGGAGACCAGCCGAGTGGAGGCCCCAACTGGGGACTCCAACCCATGTGAGTGAGGTGTGAGGTTAGACGAATGATGCGACGTGGGAGTCACCGTTCGTTGTGGGGTTTGTGTCCCGTCTCTTCCTCTCTCTCTCTCTCTCTCGCTTTCATTCATTCATTTTTTTCATTGCCCACATATCCACTGGTTCGTTCTTGTTGTTTACTCCCCCGATTCACGTGCTTTAAGCATTAATTCACTCACTTCTCCATACATTCAATGATTTCCTTCATTCATTCATCCATTCGCTGGTTGTCTCCCGCATTTACCGCCTCACGCCTCCACGTTATAATGAATTCACTCTAACGTTCATTGATTTACTCATTCACTGCTATATTCACTTACTGGGGCATTCCTTAACAGACACCTCCCACCATTGATTCCTTCACTCTTCATTCACCCGGACTCATTCACCTCCTCACCTCCGCATTCACGTATTCACTCCTTCACCAGTCGTTCACTCACTCTCTCCTCGTTAATTTCATCGCCTTGAGCCTTAATTCTACCTGTCACTCCTCCATTCAATCCTTCACATCATCCCTCCATATTCTTGGTTCTTTCGGTAAAGTCACGTAGAAGGGATATAAAATAATAAAAATATAAAACAATAAAATTATCACGACGTTTCGACTGCAACACAAGCAATCGTCATCAGGTGTCAAATCCACAGCAAGACATTTTTTTATTTTTTCAAATTTTCTTACTGTGGATTTCACACCTGATAACGATTGCTTGTGACTTTCCGGAAAGAACCAAAGGGTATCGGAGACGGACCTCGGCCGATTTAAGTCCGCAACCAACGTTACTCCACCGTGGGTTTGTATCGCGCGCGCGCGCGGTCATTGTGGACCAGGCTGAGAGCATCACCGCACGACACTCGAGGACCCCGAGTTTAATCATAACTCACAGTCGACGTCAGTTTACGGGTCTTTGTGTAAATGCCGTGGGTGAGCGAGTCTGTGGCTCTCTACGTACGTATAGTAATAGGTTTTTACCCTTTCAACTGGTACAAAAACGGACACCTTTATACAAGGCATCATGTTTTTGCAATAACCACAACACAAGCAGTCAAAATGCAAACAAAAAGAAACAACTCTGATGATGATATGCACTGTCCTTGAAGTTGATTGGTCCACACCCGAGACAGCTTTTCTTAGAGCCTAGTCTCCATTGGTGTTGGACCAGATGACGCCAAAAGGCGTACCAAAAAACATGATGCCCTGTATAAAGGTGTCAGTTTTTGTACCAGTTGAAAGGGTAAAACCCTATCACTATATTTTGCCACTGGTAAAGGAGATGTCTCATAGTGTAAAGTCTCTACGTAGGTCTATGGGTCTATTTTTATTTGCATACGAGTCACTGCCTACCGCGCTGAGACCATCAAACTCACTGCACTAGAGGACTCGGTTGGATCCGCGGGTGCGTGCGTGCGTGCGGGTGCGTGCGTGCGTGTACGCACAGTTGAACTTCTTTCACACCGTGCGGAGCCAACCGTGCTAATGGGATGTGCGAAAACAACCTCAGCTCTGAACCCGCGGGGTCCCAGCGGTGGCGGGGTCTGCGATACGCGGCCCACGGCGCGTTGTGACGGAGTCGCTGGGTCAGACGGACGTACAGGCTGCTCCGGCTCGCGTGTTTACTTGCACAGACGCCCGCGGCGTAGTGGAGGAGGAGGACGAAGAGACTCGGAGCTCTGCCCGGTTTGGTCCGGGGGCTCAAGCAGCAGGAGCAGCAGCAGGAGGAAGAAGAGTTACTAGAGGAGGAGGATTTAATAGAGCAGCAACAACTGATGAAGAAGACGTTGCAGCAGCAGCAGGGTCAGGACCTTGGACAGCAGCAGTAGCAGCAGGAAGAGGAGGCGTTGTGCCTCGGACTGGAGTCGGTGCAGCAGCAGCAGCAGCAAGAGGAGAACAGCTGAGACCCGCAGCAGCAGCAGCAGCAGGGTCAGAACCTTGGACAGCAACAGCTGCAGCTGCAGCAAGAGGAGAACAGCTGAGACCAGCAGCAACAGCAACATCAGCAGCAGCAGCAGCAGCAGCAACATCATCATCAGCACCAGCAGCAGCAACATCATCATCAGCACCAGCAGCAAAGTCAGCAGCAGCAATATCATCAGCAGCACCAGCAGCAACGTCAGCAGCAGCAACATCATCATCAGCAGCAGCAGCAACAACATCATCAGCAGCAACAACATCATCAGCAGCAGCGGCAGCAACATCATCATCAGCAGCAGCAACATCATCATCAGCAGCAGCAGGATTGGGGCCACGGACAAGAGTACGGTCAAGAATAGCAGCAGCAGCATCATCGTCTCCAGCAGCAGCAGCGGCGGAAAGACGAATGGGGCCACGGGTAACAGTGGGATCAACAACAACATCATCAGAATCACGTACGTATGTATGTATGTTGAGCTTCTTTCACACCGTACGTAGCCGACCGTGCTAATCGGAGGTGCGGGGGAAGGACAACAACCTAAACACAAAAAGCGGTCCAAAATAAATGTGTTCGTGCGTAGCTCCAGTGGCTTCCTAATATCGCAAGCGAGAGGGTTCCAGACGGCCGCAAAATCGCATCTGAGAGCGGTGACCGCCGCACTTTGTTCAACGGCGAGCCAAAAGCCGGGAGCATGAGCGGAGTTCGCGCGATGATGGTTTATGCACCTTGACGAGCTCAGCAGCAGCGAGGTATTGCGGTCTATTTGTGGCAGCAGCAGGAGGAGGAGGAGGAGAAGGAGGGTCAGGGCTGCGTCGCTCACGTCGTTGCCGAACGAGCTTCTCTGCGGAGCAGCTGCAGCAGCTGGAGCGCGCCTTCGACGAGTCACACTACCCCGACGGGGGCGCGCGCCTCGCGCTCAGCGCGCGCCTCCACCTGCCCGAGACGCGCGTCCAGGTACCGCAGGCACGGCCACGGCCGCAGCCGCAGCTACAGCTACAGCTGCTGCTACTGGCGAGGGTGCGGGTGGTGGTGGAGCCGTAAGCCCCCCCTCCCTCTCCCCTCGTGGGCTCCGACCCGCGACTTCATGTCAACAGGGCCCCGCGGCAGAGCGCAGCAGCCCACAAACTTATAAAGGCCCCCGGAACGCAGTGTTACAATGTTGTATTCCTCGCTGCGAACATCTTAGCGGCACTAATCGGCTACTAGAGGACGATATTTTTTTTGTATTTTATTTTGTTTTATTTTTATTATTGTATTATTTCCCTTCTACGTGACTTTACCGAAAGAGCCAAGAAGATAGAGGGCGATAGTTTAGACCTGGGAAGACCACGACAGATGATAGTTTTTTTTTTTTGGGGGGGGGGGGGCGGTGTCAGATCGCTTTAGTAAAATGCGTCGTAAACCCTCCTCCACCCGACACGGCCAATTCGTAAAGTTGCCACGTAAGCAACAGCAGCCGGGTGGTGCTGGAGAGCGATCCGCACGCATTTGGCACGACGTTTCGTTGGTAGCTACGCCTCGCATCATCAGGCAGTCGCCAGAAATCTGAAAATGGCGTGTGAAGGCCACTTTATAATTGCACCGTTGTTGTTATGATTTCGCTTGTTTATCCAAGAAACCATCACCGAGCCCCATGACTATTTTTCAGGAGGGTCCTGCCAAGTGTTTGCAGTCGGGGGGCGATCGTTACGATGTTTAATCCCAAATGAGAACGAACATTTGCACGATGTTACCGATTTCGCCGCATCGCGCGCTTTCAGATGCGCGCTTCTGCGGCCGTCTGGAGTGCTCTTGTTTTCCATATGAGGAAGCCACTTTTAAATCTAGATTGAAAACTCATGTTTTGTAGGACTGCTTTTTTGTGTTTAGTTTGTTGTCGTTCTCCGCGCACCTTCGATGAGCACAGTCGGGTACGTACGGTGCGAAAGAAGTTCCACATACAAAGCAGCTCTGAGCACACAGTCAATGCGCGCAGTCTCGGTGCGATCAAGCTTTAATATCGACTGAGAGTCCAATTCAGCTTCTCCCCAGTAAGGGAAGATGTCCCACACGCCCCAGTCGTAACCCCGATGACAGCCGCAGCTGTAGACATGAAGTAATGACAACAGCCGCAGCTGGTGCCGCACACGTGAAGCGTGGGGGACGAAAGAACAATGAGCGTGCCCCGGGGGGGGGGGGGGGGGGGCTGTGGTGTACACGGTAGCGTGGTGGTGGTGGTGTACATGGTAGTGTGGTGGTGGTGTACATGGTAGTGTGGTGGTGGTGGTGGGTGTACATGGTAGTGTGGTGGTGGTGGTGTACATGGTAGTGTGGTGGTGGTGTACATGGTAGTGTGGTGGTGGTGGTGTACATGGTAGTGTGGTAGTGGTGGTGTTGTACACGGTAGTGTGGTGGTGGTGGTGGTCTAAACGGTAGTGTGGTAGTGGTGGTGGTTGTAACGGTAGTGTGGTTGTGGTGGTGTACATGGGTAGTGTGGTGGTGGAGTACATGGTAGTGTGGTGGTGGGTACACGGTAGTGTGGTGGTGATGTGGGTGGTGAGTACACAATAGCGTGGTGGTGGGTGTACACGGTAAGCGTGGTGGTGGTGGTGGTGTACACGGTAACGCGGTGGATAACGCACTGCGCTACCCGAGTCCGATGCACATCACGAAGCAACACCAACAATAGTGGCGAATATCTTGACACGGTCCTCAGCCCTCCCCTTATGTCTATTCGCCTCAACTGAGCACTTGTGCGTCAATACAACATGGGGAGACAAAGGCGGCCGAGCATAGAGTTGGGCCACCTACCTCCTCCTTCCGTTCTTGAGCCGTGCCGGCCTTCATGGGTGCTCGCTAACAGCACTTGCCCAAACAGTCTGTTAAGCTATAAGGGGGATCTTTGGGCGCCACGGTAGCTAGGAGATGTTAACTACCTCGCCTGGTGTACAGGAGGCGTGGGTTCGATCCCGACTATGACGCCTGCTGTATATTAGGAGTTTGCGTGTCTCTCTCTCTCTCTCATCATCATCAACGGTGGCTAGGAGATGTTACTACCTCGCCTGGGTATACAGGAGGTCGTGGGTTCGACCCCGACCCTGACGCCTGCTGCTGTATATTTGGAGTTTGCGTGTCTCTCTCTAATCATGATCATCACGGTGGCTATGAGATGTTAACTACCTCACCTGGTATACAGGCGGTTGGGGTTTCGACCCCGACCCTGACGCCTGCTGCTGTGTATTGAGTTTCGGTGTCTCTCGTCCACGGGATTGTTATCCGAGTCCTCCGGAATTTCCCTCCCCATTTATGAAACATTTCGTTTCGAGTAATTGGTGCTGGTACATTTCCATAAACGCCACTTCGTTAAGCTTCATTTGTGGCCCAGAGTCCCTTTATGAAAACGAAGCTATATAGCTCAGTGGGCATTTCACTAGCGAATCAACTGAATACGAATTTGATTCAAGCAAGCCTGACTCTGCTAATGAGTCACTGGATGTCAAAACCGGTCCAGAATTGTGCTTGTACTGCATCAATTCTGCTTCTGCTGAAATTATGCAGCCCAAGAAAAATTGGAAGACAGACATGGGAAAAGAGACATTGTGTGCTTATTTTTAATCGGTTAAAATATCCTAAGCGATGCAGGAAAAACTCAAACTAAAGCATTTTTTTATTTCACCAGGTACACCGAGCGATGCAGCTCTTTTTCAGAAGCGACCTGGCCACAAATGATAGCTCAACGAAGCGGCTTAATGCGTGGAAATTTATCGCAGCCAAATCACTCTAAACGCGTGATGTTAATTCTAAATGTGGAGTGGGGAAAACCGGGAGGACCCGGTGAAAAATCCACGCGACCACCATGGGGAGAGACACCGCAATCTCCACACATACATATTCTTCGGTTTTTTCGGGAAAGTCACGTAGGTAAAAAAAATATTCAGGGCCTACCTTGGCTCCTCCCACCCTCAACCAGTATATATATACAAGGACTGTTTTCTTGGAATTTCTCTCACTTGATACAGCTATCGTGCTGTGACGGTTCCACCTGAAGACGGAAGCTTGTGTTGCCTCCGAAACGTCGTGATTTTTATTTATTTTATTTTACTTTTATTAATTTTCATATTTTTTACCTACGTTACTTTACCGAAAAAACCTAAGAATATGAATCCTTGCAGTCACGAAAGCTTAAAATCTAGAATCCACACATACAGCGGGCGGCAGGGTCGGTGTTGAACCCACGACCTCCCGTATCCCAGGCGAGCTCGTTAACATCTCCTAGCCACTGTGGCGGCCCTGCACAGAAACGCCCCGGGCTACCCAGGGTGGTTGCCTTGTTTGTGTTTTTGCCGCTCTCTTGCCAGTCAGCCGTATCGCTTCACCGCGTCTCGCTGCCCGCAACTTTCAGGTTTGGTTCCAGAACAGGCGCGCGAAGTGCAGGAAACAGGAGATGCAGACGCGGAGAGGTGAGGCTGCAGAGACACCGACGAGCTAGAGGGGCAGGGAGACGCAGAGACGGACGACACGGGAGACACGAAGGCAGGGAGACGCAGAGACGCTGGGACACACAGAGGGCGGGCAAACACAGAGACGTGGAGACACGGGAGATACAGAGACGTGGAGACACGGACAGAGGGAGACTAGGAGATATGGAGACAAACACCTGGACAGAGAGAAACTCGGGGTGACAGAGACGTGGAGACCACGCTGTTATAGACGATGATGGTAGTGATGCATTGATGGCCACCATTATGATGGTGGTGGTGGTGTTGATGATGGTGATCGTGTTGTTGGTGTTGTAGGCGTGATGTTGAGGCCGGGTCTGGACGGGCACCGCGTGGCCCCGTACATCCACATGGGAGTCACGAGGTCGCATCATCACCAGGTGAGAACGCAAGACAAAGCCCCCCGGGTAGCCTTAGCAGCAAGTGGCTGGAACATTGCGCCACGATGCCATGGCAGCAGGGTTCCGATTTCCCCGGCCACGGTTAACATTCAGCAGCGAGTGACATCGAAACTGGTTCCGGGCCTCCCCTAGGTAGACTCAGCCGTGAGTAACCTGGTGCAGCGTGTAAAACGTCAGCACTGGGGTGACAAAGGCGGCCGGGCGTGGTGCTCGCGACGCCACCCACTCCGTGCACCGTGCGAGGCGTCTTCTTCATCATCACGATCCATGGTGCAGATCGCCCCCGTAGGTGTCTCCACTGCAGATATCGTCATTTAATGACTTTTCTCTCGTGCCTTGCAGTGCCAATAGGCTCATGTTAGCGCCACGTCTTCCTGGCCGATCTCTGATGTCGTCTGCTAGGTGATTCCTCTCTAATTGCACTTGCCCCATAAGTACGTTGAGGCTATACAGGGGGGGGTGCATCTTTGTGACTTTCAGTTTAGCACGTGCTCAAGTTGTAAATGTTGTCGTGGGTTTATCTCCAACACACTGGTGTGCTGACCTCGTAACGAATTGGCGTGTTTTGTTTCACGCGACAACCTTACAAGTGGCCGTGTCGGGGTGGCGGCTTTAACACGACGAC